GCTATCAATACTTAGTCAGACCGACATTTACATTGGATGCAATAAGGGCTATTCTTTTTAAGAAAGTGAACAATCAATGCCTTGGTCTGTTTTTGAAAGACTAGCTCCAAAACATACTATCGCAACTACTAGAGTTGTATGTACTACAAGCTTTACCCAACCAGCTGAGCTTAGTGCGACTGAACCTACATCTACGCGCGATACTATGTTATTGGTAGTACTCTCTCGCCTACTCCAGAACTGATTTGGAAAAGAAGCAGCGTGCTCTTCGCAAGAAGTATGGCTACAATCTCACCAACCGAAATGACAAATGTAATGGTAAACACGATTCTGGAAAGTTTATTATGGATGGATCAATCTTCGGACACTGTGTGAAGAAGTGTTCCACTTGCAACTGGTACAAATAGTTGGCACGCCGAAAACTGCAAGGAAGTACCGGATGTTCAAGCAAAGAACTGACAGTTTATTCAACATGTATGCATTGAACCAAGATTATGAAAAGAAGTTCAAAAAAAATATTTACCAAATGTGACGAACGTGTAATTCAATGTGTATATGTTAATGGTGAGAAGACTATATATGTGTTTGACCCAGGCGCTGAAGTTTCAGTTTTACCACGCCACGTAGCCTATGCTACAGGAATGAGCATACTAAACGAACACACAGAATTATTATTAGGTAGCGGTAAAACTTCTACTTGTGAAGGAGCCATTGACCATGCGCACATAATGCTAACTGATAGAAGTGATGTCAACCCCAATTTGATCGACACATATTTTTCTAGAATACGATTCAATTATAGGGATAATATTATTTGTTTCAAAAATGGCAAGTATGTATGATACAATGTATGAACATATGGTATGGCTCTCATAGTCGCTGTAGTGGTTCAGGAAAGATTGATGGGAAGAAGTGGTCAGTAAATTCCCGTTTGAAGTTTGGGCCAAGTGAGTCGACAATGGAAGATATGTGCCGAGCCAATTTGGGCCGGTGTTGACAATACACTGTTACTATCGAATGTTCCATATATTCGCTTGCTGACCTACTAAGTAGAGTACCCATCTATGTGGTACGTATCGGGTCTGCGCCGTGTAGTGCCGCGGAATGGGTTAG